TTTATTGCAGCTCCTGCTCACTGTCTACCATGGCTCGAGTCCCCTTCTCTGTATACCAGAAAGTCTTAGATTTGACAGTACAGAGAATAAACATCACACAGAAGTTAATACTTTCAGTTTAACTAAGGTATTACAGTTTATTAAACTGGTAGAGTTTTGTTTATGGTTTACTTGCACTGAAGCCATCATGAAGGAGGTTTGGATTATCTGATTATCTTCTTCCACACCCCAAACCAGCCTGGGTAAATTAAGACTATGTCTATACTAGCAATTAACGTAATGCATTAAAAATAGACCTTTAGAGGCAAGCAGCTCATCTTAAGGACTGGATGTCTGCAAAATAATGTATTTTGGGTGGAATTTTCACTCAGCTCTAAACTGTCCCATTGGACAGAACAACCATTACTATCCGGAGCACACCAGATGAGCTCCAGAAGTACATTTTTGTTTTATAATTTCACCTGAAAGGAACCCAATCCCATACAGACTGCTCTAAGATGTAAGCTAAAGCACGGTAATCATGGAAGATTGGAAGCACGCTTTTGAAGCTAATCTCCCAATTAAAACACTGATGCATCTAACCACATCTTCCAGGTTCAGATCAGACTTATTTAGAAGATCCACATAGAGACCAAGTGACTCTTCGTTTTTGGAGGCTGAAAAGTCACTGCCCCAAACCGCATTTCATAGGAGGATGAGGAAGTTTATAGTCAGAGTATCGTTACCTGCAGAACTAGATGAAGAAGGCATATAATATCTAAAGCGATCCATGGCTGAAGCAACAGATCTTCTAGACTCCATAAATAACAAGACTTATCTTATTTACAAAAAAAGAATCTCAGATCAGCTCTCTAGATCAAGAAAGGTGGCAGTGTCACACAAGGAAGCCCCTTGCAATCACAGAGCAGGTCAGAAAAGAGTATTTATGGCTTCCAATTTTTTATTTTATGCCCCATCCCAAAAGATCTGGAACAGGAAGCTTTAAAAAAAAATCTTAAAAGACAAAAACAACTTTCAAATATCACATTATTACTATAGAAGGGAGAAAGGATTGAAAAAGAAGGGCATACATACCATGCCTGCAGAGACTTGGCTGTGCAGCTTCCAGACCCAGCTGGCTCAGCAACAGCTCAGAGCATGGACAGAACGAGTGTACGACCATCCACTGTTTGAGTGGACAAGCCCCACAGCACCTCTTCACACACACACACTCACACTCATTTCCTTTCCTTATCTAGTCAACTGGTATTGTGGTAACCTGGTAAGTATTTCCACTTGTTTCTGCGGATCCAAATTCCATGATTTAATCTTATTTTTAACCCCTAACCAGACATTTTGAATAAAAAGAGTACATTTTAGATTTTCCATAAGGATTCATGCAGGCTATTATCATCAACTTAGTTCCATCCCAGTCTCTATGTCAGTCTTCCGGGAGGACTTCACATGCCTGCTACCCACATACTGTTTTGCAAGAGTTTAATTAGCTTAATGAACCCTGAAATGCCCTTTTGAAACATGGTTTTGTATCTCACTGTTCTGGATTTATAAGAGCCAATGTACTAAAAGTCAATCACATAATACTTAACACTTATGTTTCATTCCTACTCCTTTTGAAGTAAAGTGACTGTTGTTTACTATTTGAATCTATTTTTCCTTTGTTTAAAAAAAGAAAACTAAAACAATCCTCTATGCACTCTACTTTCCCCTTCACATGTAAAGTAGCTCCATAAACTAAGATCAGGGACTGCAAATGAGAGTGAAACAAAACTCCTTTCAATACTAGAACTATTGAGATGTTAAATCTAAGAACTTCCCTAAAAGTATTAGGGATTTGCAGAGACAAAGGAAAACGAATCCCAGTAAGTCCACAGAGAAGTAGCTACCAACTGGCTTTGTCAGACAGCTTCAATGGACATTCCTCCTCCGCTCTTTTGTGAGCGCTTGTCCCCACTACACCAAAAGAATAACTTTGCACAGTGATCATTTTTACTCAAGCTCTAGCTTTTATACAGGTATCATATCAGTAAAGCAGAGGGTCTTACTGCAGATTGTGCACTACAAAGTCAGAAAAGGGCGGGGTGGGGGGAAAAGGAGTTCAAGTTCAAGGGTATTCTGACAGATATAATCAGTAAAATACTGGCTGAAGAACTACACAGCTTGTTCCCGTCACAAGAACTATGTTCTTCTGAAACTAGACTTGTTAACTAAGATGTTATAACAGCCAAGATGTATAGGTTAGTTAAGAATAGCTTATGCAAAAGGCAAAACCTGCCTTGAACTCCTATGGGACAGTATATGCAGGCACAGGAGAGTTCAGCGACACACCCAAATACTTCTCTACCATCACATGTCATTTTATGCTTCTCTTTTCCAAGTCAAAAGCCTTGGAAGGCTAAAGTCCTCATTCTGCTTAGAAAAAGTTTTGCAGTCTACATTAGTAAATACAGTGCTCTGCCCTAATTTTTTCTTATTCTCCTACAAATAATCCAGAGTCACCTCCCAGCTAGTGCTATGAAAGCAATTCTGCAAAAGCAAAAGTGTCTGCTATTCAGGCTTAGCGACAGAGATGTTAAGTTTGACTAACACCTTCCTCGAAACAGAAGTTAGGGGGAGGGCCCCTAGAGCAGGATTTAAAAGTCGTAAGGACGGAACTGTCCTACAAGGGGCTTCCAAAGTCACTCCTCCAAGGCTTTGCTGTAAGTCTTGTTACAGAAAGCAATCAGGGTGCAGCACGCCACAGCCCTTTTTTAGGTGCAACTGACTCCCTGTACTGGCTGACACAAGGCAGCTGGCATACTTCATTTCAAAATAGCAAGAGGGGAAGGCCACAGCATTTGGCTTGGGGCTGATCACAGAGCAGCCTGAAGTTCAGCATTAAACGCTGATATAGTGATATAAGCCTGTGTATAGAACCATTCTAGCAATGCTCTCTCTCATGGGTATATAAAGGCTAGATTTTTAGACTGGTAAGAGGGTGAATAGGATTCACCATTCACTGTCCTTTCTAACATAAGAACTAGGAGCTAAACAAAGTAAGCGAGGAGCCAGGTTCAAAACAAGCAAAAGGAAACAGCTCCTCATGCAGTGAGTAGTGAACCTGTAGAACACAAAGTCCTTTGGCAAGGAAGACATGAAAGGGTTTACATGGGTTCAAACGAAGGTTAGAGAAATACCTGGAAGAGAGATCTAGCCAGGTTACTAAATAGACAAGTACACTTGCTGGCACTGTAGCTTGGGGGAGGGGAAGCAGGCAGGCAGGCAAGCCTCAACTTAGAGCTCTATCATGTACCTAAAGCATGAGGCTTTAGCTCTAGCGCCACAGGCTTACAGGGCAAAGAGCTAGAGGATTATTGGTTTGAGCCAGTATGATTGTTCATACGCTCAAACCCTCAGATTTGCTCCTTATAAAGTAAGATGCCAGGACTCTACTCTAACAGACCAGTAGTCACATCTTTAGTGGAACTAACAAACTCCTCTTCTACAGTTCCAAAAACATTAATTTAAGCTATAGAGAATACTAAAAATTGTAGTGGAGCTTCTTAGCAATCAATATTAGTGTTACACCCGATTTCAAGAATTTGAATCTGAGCCCTTAAATCATTACCTAAGAATGGAAGTGTTGTCGAAAGTGTCATTCAGAGATTTGGGAATGCAATTCTTCTGATCTTAACAGAATTTCCTTCAAAGGACAAGATGCGGCTATTCATTCATAATTACAGAAATCCCACAGATCTATGTCTATGTCAGTGACCACAAGTTAGGTAACCTACCGAATGCTTTCCAGTGCGCTTGTTATCTGTTGTTGCACAATATCATAAAGTTTCACTCTGAAGCCTGCAGCAGCAAACACCATAGCCCAGCTGCGACCAATCAGTCCACTGAAAAATAAATAAATATTAGCCAATTAATAAGGAAGCATTTATTTTAGGGAGGGAGGCCTGACTATTTTGCCTCTTGCAACGCTTGAGTTTGGACTCTGTTCAATATTTTGATGAACAGATTGGTTACACATTGAGAAGAAACCAATCTCTCTCCGTAATAGTTATATATCCTCTGCTAGCCAGGCAGCAGCTTCTCAGAGCAGGGGGAAAGATAATGAGAAAAAAAAGAAAAAAGGATAGTAGAATTTGAAAGAGCAAGAACTATACCTTAGGAAAACGGACTGAAGTATCAACAGCTTCCCCACCTGTGATTCTGACCTGTAGTCAGTTTATGGAATCATATGAAAAAGTATTTTTCATAAATTCATTTGTTCAGTTCTAAGTTTGAAGACCGACAGCAGTCCGCTGGTCCAAGAGTGTGGGAACCTGCTTCACAGATCATCAGTGAAGCAGAGGCCCAACTACTTAAGCTACAGATCCACTACAGTTCTGGGGGTACTCTAAGCATGTGAAAAGGAGAAATATGATTTTGAGCCTACTTTTGCACCCACCCAACTCTAGCACCACCCTTATTTTTAGACTAAGCATTCTACCATGCTGGGGGCATGCAGGAACAGTCTGTCAATTCATCTTTTGATGAAGTCACGTTACCTATAGCGAATTATTAAGAAATATAAAGAAACTTATAAAGAAAGAGCTGATAATTTTAGTGTCTCTCAAAACAATGCACATTTTGACTTAATTAGCTTTATAGCAGGCATTAGCCTTTTCAAATGGAAGCACTGAGGTGCACTGCAAGTAAGCTTAAATAATTTTTTTGTGATCTCAGGTTTAACAGTGAGAAGAACATAGCTCCAAAGCCATGACCGTTACAGTGAGTTGTTATCATTACATGCATTTCCTGTCATTTCTGAGATCACTGTCCACATAACATTAAACCTGAGCAGCCTCTGGCACCCGGAAAAATGTTAGGCTGATAGGGCATCAGTAAAGGATGACATGGGGAGTAAAAAAATCAGGAGATAGGCAATAGGCCAGATCAGAAAAGGAAAAAAAAAAAAAAAAAAAAAAGGAAAACGTTCAGTCCCTGGTTTGTAAGAAAAATAAATAAAAAAAT